TGACAGGGCTGGTGAACTGCTACAATAACTTGTACTGTAAACTGTTCAATTTGTACATCGTTTTTCTTTTAAATTGTAATGGCTAATGGCTGCACAATAAAATTTTATCAGACTATCAGACCAGCAGAATATTTGGAATATTAGGAAGCAGTGCATAAACTATAGCTCAACACAAGACGTTTTGATGCTCCTAAAGTAGAAACTTAACCTTTTTGTACCAAGCCCATCCTAAATTCAGCAAGCTGAATAAACTCTGCAGTTTTTATTGTTTCATCTCCTTTGTTTATCTTTCTACTTCTCCTTATGTATTCATACTGAAATTCTTTCCCTAATAATCCTTTATTTCATTCTGTCCCTCTTGATGGGGAGTTAGCTGCCCACATATTTAAGCATATGCAAAATCAGAGGGACTTGAAACCAATGTTCCCTCTAAGCTGTGGAGTCCTGTGAGCAAAAATTCTACTTTGTGAACTCCTGGCATTAAAGTTGTGAGTGAGCGGTTTGGCTGCTGCATAAATTAGTTTGCTCTGGAGCCCTCCTTCCTGAGTGAAGACAAAAATGGGTGAGCTGGAGGCTACGAAACTGTGAGCTAGCTCACACTAACTCAGCTTAGAGGGAACACTGCTTGAAACTTTTTAAAAAAATGTTTTGTCTAAGGAATCTACCATTGTGTAACTCACCTTCTTCTGTGGCTTTTCTGTGCTCTCACAGAACTGAAACATGAGCATGCTCTGCAAAAATTACATCTCCCTCATATGTATTTATCAATATGGAGCTCCATTCGCCAGGATGTTCTCCCGTTCGAGCCTCATTGGAAAGAATGTTTTTTGACAAGGCTAGGGCAGGTGAGATTCCAAAGGTTTGTGCTTCATGGATAAGTTCTGTCTGACTCTCGAGTTGGTGCCCTTATTAACACTCACATCCACTACTGGATCTAGGCCCTTGACTGGTCACTGTTGGGAATAACGTGTTAGGCTAGGTGGGCTTCAGTCTCAGGCCATGGGGTTGTTTAATGTTTATAAATAACCTCTGTTCTGCCTTGAGCACCAGCAAGGGAGGGAAGGCAACTCTGCCCATGAAGGCTGTGGGCTGTGCTGGTTGGGAAATGGGTGGATCAAGAGGAAAAGACTTTCCCCTATCCTTCAAGGAGGTCAGCATCATCAGCCTGGGCTGGCCCAGAAGTGGGAATTTCCAGACAAAGTGACCTATTAATCCTGGCACCAGCATCCAGGCAGTGCACCCTTGGGCAGTGCCAGAGGAATTCAGCCCTCTGACATGTCCTCTGTGTGGCATTTGACACAATAATAGAAACCGTGAGAGCGAGTGGGGGCATGTGCTTTTCGAAGAAGATGTCTGAAATTATATACCAAGAGATACTGACCTTAAGGGATTAGGTTAAAAGTGAATAAAAGTGTTATTTTGGCATGGAGGCATAAGTATTTGGGCTACTGGATGCTCCTTGCTCCTCCCTTCCTTTCTTCTGCTCTTTGTAACTCCAGGTATAAAATTTCTTTGCCAACCGAATTGCAGCACTTCATACACCTGATGAAATGGGCTCTGGCTCATTAAAACTTATGTCACAATAAAAGAATCACTGGAATTAAGTTGCCTACAAGTCTAAGGAAGGATTAAGCAGGACTGATTTGCAATTGCACTGTGGATTTATTGTAATGGCACATAAACAAAAAAACCCCAAATCTCAGGTGTCTAACAACATAATGCATATTGGCAGCCACAAAGAGAATCACAGTTTGTGATTATTCATCTCAATCCTCTTTTCTCCAGTGTTAAACAAGAGATTATTTCCATTTGCAGGCAGCTCTGCTGCATCACACACTAAAAATTACCATAATTTAAACCTGGAGGCAACAGTTTAGAAGAACTAAAAAGGCATTTTAAAGGAATTGCACATCGTCATTCTTGGTATTCTTTCTTCCCAGTCAGCACATACAGTTTCCCGGAGCTCAGTGTACTTATATACCTCTTACACCCTGCTTTTCTCCCCAGTGGGGACTCAAAGTGGCTTGCAACATTCTCCCCTCCTCCATTTTATCCTCACAACCCTGTAAGGTAGGTTAAGGGTAAGTGTGTGTGTGTGTGATAGGTAGGTTACAGCTCAGAGTGTGTGATTTATTTATTTATTTATTTATTTATTATTTGTATTTTTATCCCGCCCTCCCCGTAGGCTCAGGGCGGCTTACAGGGCATATTGCCGAATCATAGCATAAAACAATACATACATTAAAATATTAAAACCAGTTATACTGATAGAAAAATATATTTGGTGCTCCTCTCATACAAAAAACAAGATGGCCGTCTCTTAAAAAAATCTCATCCAAGTGCTCAGCCTCCAGATGACCCTGTACCCAAATTCTGGTGCGTTGATGGTGCCATGGCGTTGGTGGCACCATGGCGGTGGCGGCTCCTATTCGAACGCCTGGCAGAAGAGCTCCGTCTTGCAGGCTCTGCGGAACTGTGCTAGGTCCCGCAGAGCCCTGATCTCCTCTGGGAGCTCATTCCACCAGATAGGAGCCGCCACCGAAAACGCCCTATTCCTGGTCACAACGCATTTGATGGCCCGGGGACCTGGCACATCCAGCAAGTTCTGCTTCCCCGACCGTAGTGCTCTTGGGGGAATATGTGGGGAAAGGCGGTCCCTTAGGTAGACTGGTCCCTGGCCATATAGGGCTTTAAAGGTAATAACCAGCACTTTGATTGTCCCAAGGTCACCCAGCAAGCTTCCATGGCAGAGTTGGATTCGAACCTCTGGGTCTCTTGTGATCTTAGCCTGACACTCTAGCTGTTACACCATGCTGATGTATACATGGCTCCTGGAGAACTGGAAACCTCACAAGTCTCAAAGACCTAGAAGGTGTTGAGCTGAATGCTACGAACTGAACACAACAGAAGCAGCAGGGAGGAAGAGACTCAGAATGCAGAGAAACCATGAGAATATCTGCCTGTGTTTGGTCCAGGGTGTCCATGGGAACGGCAAGTACAATAGAAGGTAGTCAAGCTAGCAGGATGACGGGCAGGAATAGGCAAGTATGATCATCAGGGTAGAGGGCAAATGCAGCAGAGCTAGAAAATTATTTTAGTTATGTTATTTATAGTCTGCCTTTCCTACAGTGACTCAAAGCAGATTACTCAGTATAGTCCGTACTATAAAAAAATGGGACATTCCCCGGTCGGGGAATCAAAACCTACTGGATGTTCCAGGCCCCCGGTCCATCAAACCTGTCATGACCAGGAATAGGGCGTTTTCGGTGGCGGCTCGTATCTGGTGGAACGAGTTCCCGGAGGAGATCAGGGCTCTGCGGGACCTAGCACAGTTCCGCAGAGCCTGCAAGACGGAGCTCTTCCGCCAGGCTTTTGAATAGGAGCCGCCGCCACCAGTGTACCACCAACGCCCCATAATTTCTGTATATGGACATCATGACACGGGCATCACGGGTGAGAACGGGACGTTTAGGGGACGGCCATCTAGCTTTTAGAAATCGTAACTTCAGAATTGGTTTAGAGGAGCACCAAAATTGTTTATTAACTGTGATGTACTTTTAATATTTTGTATTGTTTTATTGTTTTATTTGGCAATATGCCTTGTTAGCCGCCCTGAGCCTTCGGGGAGGGCGGAATAGAAATGTAAATAATAAATAAATAACCATTGCATTTGGATACAGCAAAAGGCATAGGGATCTAGAAGAACTAATAAACTGCTCTACCTTGTTCCTTGTTTTTCTCCTGCTTACCAGTGGGGCCTTTTCTTCCTAGAAGTCTGGAACCACCAGAAAGAACTGAAGGATAGCATAACTATTAATATGACCTTAAAGTGGTACAGAAATTAAATAGGATTGTACTTAAAATAAGCTGTACACAGCAGTAGACCACAGTCCCAATCATTTATGCAAGTAAGTTTGTGAATCCTTTTACCTGAGCAGAAAAGCCCTCTTGAATAGTTCCATTTTGCAGAGTTTTCAGAAAGCCTTTTTTGCAGCTGCAAAATATAGCTAAAGATGGAGGGGAGAAAAAAGGTAGGTTGGTAGCAGAGCAGTAGTAGGCAAAGGTAAGGATAGGGGGGTTACCCAGGGGGGAGGGGAG